CCACCAGCCTGGGTGCGGTCCAGCCCGACGGCGTCGGTGATACCCTGCTCAAACGCTCGCACGAGAGCGATACGACGAACTATGATAGGCGACAGCAGCAGCACGAGTTTTCGTCCGTCGTGGACGGCGGGTTTAGTAGCGAGCTTAGAGGGGTCGACGATAGGGGTAATATTATCGAATCGGTTCACGTGATGGACGTTAAGTGTATCATAGATCAGAGCACCGGCAAAGTTCTTAGCGTGCGCGAGGCGATTCGGCTCAAGATCCTCGACGTTAGGAACCTTAGGATAGTGACATCGAGCGATGGCAGGACGAGCGTGTCGATCCAGGAGGCCGCGCGTGACGGTATCATCAACGCGGAGATGGCCGATTGGCTGTTAACTCCAAATGGTCGGGTGTCTATGCTCGCGGCAATGAGTGAGGAGTTCAACGACGAACGGGCCGACATCGCGGATCGAGTTAAGGTAACGACAGCACGTCGTGACGATGGTGGCGGAAATAATGCCGCCACCATGGGATTTAGCGTTGTCGATGCGATGAGAAAGGGCTTATTGGATCCAGCCACGGGAGAGGTCATCGCCGAGAATGGCGAACGAATTTCGATTGAGGAGGCATACTCACGCGGCTATCTTACTAAGGTGGACGTGACCGTTAGGGTAACTCGTAGTGCCATCGCACTCTCCGACGCAATATCGCAGAATCTTGTGGATGATCGGACCGGCCGCATCGTCGATAGGATTACCGGCGAGTCTTATCCATTGGACGAAGCCGTCGACAAAAACATTATTGATGCGAATGTGAAAGAGATTGTGGATACGAGGAGCGACTGCAAGATGACGGTGGCTGAGGCTATGAAACACGGTATATTGAATGCCAAAAGCGGTAGATACATGCACGGCTTGTCGATGGAGAAATTGCCGTTTAAGGAAGCTCGTCGTCGGCAATTGATCGTTAAGCCGATGACGCTCAAAGACTGTTGCGATCTAGAAATTATCGACGACAAAGGCAAAATCGTCAGTCCAGCACATCGTGATAAATTAACGTTATTGGAGGCCATATCACGCGGAGTCTTAGACTCGGAGAACATCAAGTCCATAGTAGATACTCGAACCGGCGAAATGATTACGCTAGCCGATGCCTTAACCAGCGGTATAATTAAAATCGATGGCACGTATCGCGACATGTTGAAGGATGAAAAGTTCCCTATTCCTCTAGCCGTCGAGAAAGGTCTGATCACGTCGGTGACTCAGAAAAGTATCTTTGACATCGATGGCTTCAAAGATCCAGTTTCCGGCGAATATATTAGTTTGAATGCGGCATTATTGAAAGGTTTGATCAGCTCAAAGTCCGGCGGTACTTTCACGATTGACCTAAAAACCGGAAAGACCGTTTCATTAAGCGAAGCAGAAGAACAGGATTATATTAGACCAGAAGTACTGGAGATGCTAAGCCGTGGCATCGGCATTACCGAGAACGGATGCGAGACAAGCGTTCTCGAGGCTGTGCTGCTCGGATTGTTAGATCCTAAGTCTGGTCAATTGTTGGATCCGCGTAGCAAGAGAATAGTGCCTTTGGAGGAGGCGATCAAGCGAGGACTCATTACTCCCGACGGTGCCGCACTGCTCACCAGTTTATTGAACATCGCAGTCACCACGCAAACTGTGACGAAGACCATCAGAAGATACGTGACGACTCTACAAACGGGTGAAACTGTTACAAGAGATTTCAAAATCAGTTATGAAGAAGCGTTAAGCAGCGGTTTGATCGATGAAAATAAAAATGAATTTAGGGATCCTGATTCGGGAATGACGATGTCCATTAAAGATGCTTTTGAGCAAAGTTTGCTTGGTGATGACGTTCGCCAACATGTACATTCGCAAGAACGTACTTCGGATTCGTTACATACAACTTTTGAAAGTACTCTGACAACAAATATCGATGAAGTACCTAGAAGTAGAAGAAGTGAATCACCACCTAGAGCAATTGGCACAGTTACAACTATTATTACCAAAGAAATTGCTCCGCGAGCATCATCTACACCGATGAAAGAGTCATCCTCAGTTACGATGACGATCGCACCATTAGCCATGACTGATTCTGTTTCTTTCGCGCGAGATTCAACTAAAGATATCTCACCTTCGACAAAAGTTAGCGACTCGACTAAATGGTCGACTTCCGAAATAACATCGAAAACGAGTTCGTTTGATCAAACTCATATAGTAAGTCATGATCTCAAATCACCTTTGCGTGATGAAAAACAAGATATGGAAGTAATTACATCAGTTATACCAACTACGAATCGCACATCAGAGATTTCGAAATTCATAGAAAACGAACGTGTTTTCACGAATAAACAAGTGTTCGAACTACCCACGGATGGTTGGACACTCGCTGAAGCTATCGATAGGAAACTACTTGATCCTGTTACAGGTCTTTTCATAATTCCAGGCACCGACAGATTGGTTTCTTTCGAAGAATGTATTAACTTGCAGATCATCAATCCGAGTTCTGGTTTTGTTATTGATCCCTCTAATGGAAGAAAGGTGTCGTTGGTGCGAAGCTTAGAAAAGAATATTCTGGACTCTACGGGTCACTATTGTTATCCACAAAAAATCTCGATGAGAGAAGCGATTGCGAATGGATTGATCATATTGGAAGGAGAACCGAGCGTAGATAGCGTAGATAGCACTAATCAGAGGCTTCTTCAGATCACAAGGGTTTCAGGTGAGCCCGATAAAGTGGAGTTGACGCGTGTTGGCGATCCTTCTCAGCAAATGGAAATAAAAGTTAGCGACGAAATGTCTATGCCGGATCCGGTGCAAGTAACTCAGGGAGTGATTTATGATCCAGGAACGGCCTTAGTAATCTCCACAAAAACTGGAAAATCTGCGAATCTCTTAGCCGCAGTTTCCGAAGGAACGATACCGTCTACTGCTGTAATCGTCAAAGATCCAACGACGGGTAAAGACATTGGCATGGCGGAAGCTGTTAACCGCGGTATTCTGAATACTAATACATGCGAATATAAAATTGATGATGGCAGAAAGATATCACTGATCGATGCGGCAAAGTTTGGAGTGGTGGCTGTTCTCGGTGCTCCCCTTGCGGCCACCGCGGCCGCCATAGAAGCGGTACAGAGAACGATGGTCAAAGATCCAGTAACTGGTAAGAAAGTGCCAAGAGAAGTCGCCATTGAACGTGGCATCATTCCGATGGACGATAACGTAATTTCACCAATTATTGAATCTGCAAGTGGTACGCCTGATGAAAATGAAAAAGTTATTGTGAAACATGATGAACCTGGAAATGTTTGCATACCGAAGGAGGACGTTAAGAATACAACTTTGATTGATTTGTCGAAATCCGCTAATGATGTTATGGATGGCGAGAGTTTAGGCACGAAGACCAGAGCGCGAGTGACGGTCGAGCCGAGGTATCAAGTTACGATTGGTAAAGCGAAAACACTACCACAAAGTCCGGAACAAGAAGCGAAACCTATCGTTCTGCAGAAGATGCGAAAGAGGATAGTAAACGTTAAGGAAGCGTTGCAAAGTGGTTTCATCGACATGGAAACAGCAGATACCTTCGCGAAGAAAATGTGTGATGAGAAAGGGGATCCGATCACTCTTTCTGAAGCAATCCGTGATAACCAAATAGACGCCAATCAAGGTCAGATCATGGATCCACAAAGAGGCGATGTGCTTAGTATCAAGCAGGCTATCGATCGTGGAATCCTTGATCCAGAGAGCGCGCATATATTAGTACCTTTGGCGAAAAGCTTGTCCGTGCCCAGCTTATATACGCAAGGTTTGCTAGATCCTGTAGAGGGTAAAATCGTTCATCCAGAAACAGGCGCGCATCTCACTCTCAACGAGGCTATAGTATGCGAAATAGTGGATCCTCTATCTAACTTGATGTTTACTGTTGATGGCCGTACGGAAACGTTGCAGTCTGCCATTGCGAACGATACTGTCGATGCAGAGAGATTGTTGGTCAAAACGCAAGGCGGTAGCGTAGATTTAGTGAATGCGATAGAGAACAAAGTGCTTGAGTTAAAGAGACCGACTAAATCTTTCAATATACCGCCGGCGGGAATGACGTTCCCTGTTGCATTAAAACGTGGATTGATAGACATCAGCAAGAAAGAAATACGTCATCCTATTACCGGAGAGCATTTACCACTGGAGGACGCTATAAAGAAAGATTTTATCATGGCATTACCATATCCAGTGACTCCTGACAGTATCGAAATAACGAAGGCTTTAGAATCAGGATTGATTGACAGGGACAAGGCTATATTCTTCCATCCTACTACGGGAACTCCGATTCCAATTGCCGAAGCTGTCGAGTCTGGTCTACTCATCATCAAATCGCCTCATGATGAAAATACAGCTGCCATTACTGAAACAGTTACATCGTACCACACTATTACGACCAAGACTGTTGAGCTTTTGCCAGGTTATGCGCTGAAGAATCCAACGGAAGTACAAGATATTAATACCGGTAATATCATTACTATTGAAGAGGCACGACAACGAGGTATCATTAAAGATGTATCTGAAACTAAACAGGAATTCACGACGAAAGATATCAAGATGTCCTTTAATCACGCAGTGGAAAAAGGATTCGTAGATATGGAAAAGGGAATTTATACTGATCCTTGCACCGGTACCGTAATGCCTATCGCTAAAGCCGTTGAGGAAGGAATCCTCGATACTTCATCTAGCAAGAGTGAATCTGTAACACCCAGAAAATCTCCCAATAACAGTTTGACTGTGTTAGAAGCGGTTGAGCAAATTTATGATGAAAAAACTGAGACGTTTAAAGATCCTGAGACGAACGAATCTTACAATTTGACGGAAGCAATGAAAGTGGGACTAATCGAACCCGATTCTGTACTTTATAATGTGAAAACTAAAGAATCTATCACTACCAAAGAAGCACTCGAGAAAGGTTTGCTTGATCCTGCCACTGGAAAAATGAAAATTGCGCGAGATCAGAAGGATCATTCGATTAGCATAGCGGAAGCTACGAAAATGGGTCTCTTGGCAGTCGTAGCCGCACCAATCTTAGCTGGAAAAGCAGTTGTTGATGCAATTTCAAGTCGCAAATCTAAAGAGTCAAAACCGAATGCATCCGAGACGAAATTATCTGTTTCAGCGAAGAAAGAATCAAGTCCACCTGTAAAAATTATTTCAAGCCAAATTCAAATTACCCAGAAATCTCATGTTGATTCTCAAAGTGAAGATAAAACGTCGAGTTTTATAGAAACGCAAAAACCATTTTCAGATAGAATAGTAGAAGAGATTCAAACTACAGAGACAGAAATGGAAGACGATAGCCAATTGAGAAGAATCACGGACGAAGAAATGCCAAAATCCATTTCGATAACCATTACGAGAGAATTAACGCCTCAGGTTCTTGCGGAACTTGGAATATTTGATCCTGTAAGAGAAAAATTCTTGGATCCGGAAATGGGTACCATCACTTCCTTCAACGATCTAGTATTAAACCTGAAAGTCTTTGATCCAGACCGAGTACTCGTCAAAGATCTATCCAAGACGGATTTGTACGTGAAACTACGTGAGGCAATCAGCCGACCTCTCGTAGACAGAAACGTCGCTTACATGGTCGATCCAAAGACCGGTAAAAAGATACCTTTCTTCGAGGCGGTGCGCTTGGGTTGGATCAAGGAGGAACCGGAAGATGAAACAGATACAGAACAATTTGCAGAATCGCAGGCTTTAGACTTGCAAGAAGCTATCGATATTGGCATATGCAATCCCATCACAGGAACAATTCAAGATCCAAAAACGGGACAAGTGTTGTCCATGAACGAAGCTATTGATACAGGATTTATCGACGTTGATGTGCTTGGCGTGAGAAATCCCATTACTGACGAAATCGTGCCGTTTTGTGAAGCGTTGGAAACCGGCATCGTAAATCTTCGCAAGGACGTTGTCATCAATACAGAAACAAGAACGGAAATCAATATTACAACGGCGTTTTTACGAGGTCTAATTGTACCCATTTCTCGCAAACCGATCTCATTAGAAGCTATTATTAGGCAAGGTCATTACGATACTGAGACAGGAAAAATACAAGATCCTCTAACTAAACAATTGATCGACGTTGAGGAAGGTGTTCGTAGAAGTGTTGTTGATGCTTTTATCACCGAGGTTGAGGATACAAAAGCCGGTTCATCCGTCTCGTTGGATGACGCGCTGACTATGAACTTGTTGATTCCCAGTACAGGTCGCTTGCGCGATACGAAAGCGGGAGAGCTTCTACCCTTGGACGTAGCGCTTCATAAACATTTGATTATCACAACACCATTCGTGCCTTCGCTGATAGACGCTATTGTTCAGCAATACTATTCACCGAAAACTGGCCTCGTTCTGAATCCAATGACGGGTGAAGATATAACGCTGAAGGAGGCATTAGCTATTGGTTATATTAATGGCTCTACTACAGTAGTAAAAGATGATAGAAAAGATAGCGTTATTCCTCTCAATGAAGCAGAGAAAAATAAGCTAATAGATTTAGTAAGAGGAACATTGATTTATCCGCATTCTATGACATTGGACGTTGCCTTTGAAAAAGGATACATTTTGAGTACCGTGAAACCATGGACGCTACAGGAAGCTTTAGCTCTTCAAATTTATGATCCAAAGTTAGGCACTTTTACTATTGATGATAATAATTGTACTTTGGAGGAGGCGATGGAGAAAGGCTTTATTAGTAAAGACAGTCCATCGATTAAAGATCCGAGAAACAACGATATTATATCTCTGGGCGACGCTATCAAACATGGCTTTATCAATACGAAGACCAGTACGGCAGTGGATCCATGTACCAGTGCGCCTCTTTCGTTAACTGATGCCTTAGATCGCGGCTTTATAGTGCCAGCGAAACGTAAAATATCCCTACCGGACGCCGTCTTCAAAGGTTTATACGATCCCAAGACCGGACAATTCACAATACCTGACACGCAAGAGAAGCTTCCTACTGATCGCGCGATTAAAATGGGCGTGATAGATGCAACTACCGCAATCGTACGAGATCCCAACGGCGACGTGATGACATTCAATAAGGCTATTAAGACCTCCATAGTTGACCCCAAATCCGGAACAGTTAGTCATACCAGAGGACCGCCTGTAGATTTCCAGGAAGCGCTGGAACGTGGTTTGCTTCTCGAAACAAGAAGACCTATGAGCTTTAGCGAGGCAATTTCAAAGGGCATCCTCGATGAGAAGACCAACAAATTTTTAGATCCGCAGACGGGAATTTATCTAACAATATTGGAAGCTATTCAAAAGAATCTAATAGACGCTGACTCGGTTACCGTCAAGGATACGAGGTCCAGCATCTGGAAAACGATGACACTAATGGAAGCTATACAATCTGATTACATGGACGGCACTACTGGCTATCTCAAAGATCCTAATAAAGGTAACAGGAACGTATCTCTGAGGGACGCCTTTGAATCTGGCCTCATTGTTGACAATAGAGCAGCCGTATCTTTACAACGTGCCATCCATCAAGGATTGTACGATGATAACACAGGCAAGATCACCGATCCCAGTACAGGTAGAGCCGTGACGTTGCATGAAGCGATGAGAAAGTGTGTAATTAGCCCTACGTTACCGTGTTATTGGGACAAGCGTGGCGAACGTTTACTATCATTAGCAGAAACATGTCGTGCTGGCGTAATTGATAGGCGCACCGGCATGTTCAAAGAGCCGAGAGCATGGGATTTGGCCTATATGAGGCGATATTAATGAATATGTACGACGTTTCGTCAGGCAAATTTATACATCCAACCAGCAACCGCAAGCTGACGTTAGCTGAGTCATGCCAAGTGGATCTAATAAATTCCTTGACATCGATTATCAAGTGCACCAGGTCTAATAAATACATCCCACTGGCCGAAGCAATCTCCTCGGGCATCGTCGATGACATTCGTGGCATGTATGTCATCCGCGAACTTGATAAAGTGATTAATCTCCAAGAAGCAGCGAAGAAGGGTTTCATCGTCACATCAAAGACGCCCCTCTCGATCGAGGAGACAATTAAGTATCACCTTTACCGTAGCGATAGTGGTAAATTTGCTAATCCTGTTGTTAATGAATATCATGACCTGCTTCAAGCGATTAACTGCGGTCTCGTAGATCCTGATACTACTGCCTTAAAAGATGCGACGACCGGACAAATCAAGTCGCTATTAATGGGCATCGAAGACGGGACGGTCGATGTGTCTCGAGGAAGAATATTGGATCCTAAGACGACACGTGCTTTTAATATTGATGTAGCTTTAGAAAGAGGTCTATTGGTCACAATCGATAAACCTCTAGCGCAACAAATAGCACATAGATCACCTTTAGAAGCTTCTAAAGCCGGACTTGGCGATAAAAATGTCAAAGAATGTACTTTAGAAGAAGCGATTAACTATCAACTGATTGATCCGAATACGTCAGTTGTAAGAGACCCTAGAACCGGTCGATTTGTGACGACGGCAAGAGCGATTGCGGACAATGTCGTAGATCCCTCCGTCAGAGGCACGATTGAACTGAACAGCGGAAGCAAAAGGGAACCGCGTTTTGTACGTTTCGGTGATGTCACCATATTCGTTAGGGAACCTTTCACTTTTGAGCAAGCAGTGGAGAAAGAGTATCTGTCGCTAGAATCGGGCAAATTCACGGATCCGATCTCGAACGAACAATTGACTCTAAAAGAGGCGGTCGGTCTCGGTATCGTAGACTCGGACTCGGCGTTGATTAAAGACTCGCAGAAGAAGAAGCTGGTAAAATTACCGGAGGCATTCCGCAAGGGCATGATGGACGCTGAGAAGGGCAATGTGCTGGACACTGCTACGTCCAAGTTGTACAGCTTGCCCAAGGCTCTGGAAGCTGGTCTGTTGATCACCCCGAGGAACGGCGTTTCGTTCATCGAAGCGCTGCAGTTCAATCTTTACAATCCTACCACGGGCAGCTTTTATGATCCCTTCGTTATCACTTCCGTATTAGATCGTAGGCGCCTCACGCTGGCGAATGCAATCGAGTCGGGCCTAATCGATCCGTCCACCACCGTGATCAAAGATCCGTTCACGGGTAATATCGCGAGTCTGTTAGAAGCAATGAGTAGCGGAAAGGTAGATTCCATAGGAGGCAGATTAGTCGAGGACATTGATGGCAACAATATCGACTTCATGAAGGCCTTGGAGCGGGGTTATATACTCGCCGCTGAAGCCAGGGTAAGTAGGACCAACCAGAATGATACCTTTTACATATCCCTGCAATTCCTGCACCAATTGATTCTTCTTTGTCCTCCGTTCGTTTTATTTTTTTTTCTTGTTGTTTGGGTTTCCAATTTTTCTCACACCCGAATTTACGTTTGCTATTGTTTTCACTCACGATTCTCTTAACAGCTTCTTCGAGAGTTGGATGTGATTATCATTACGCTGTCACACGAATCGACATTACGTTTTTATTGTCGTGCGATTCTTTCTCTGTCACATCTTGTCTTGCCTAACCTGACGTGAAGTTTTATATCATTATCATTCGCGAAGAAAGCCGCTTGCTGGTATGATGGTCCCACATGGGATCTCTAAGACTCCGTTTTTCATTCGCATGACATTTTTATTACACATCGATCGAAAATTGAGAAGAATAATACGCGTAATGTGCATGGGCATAAATTAAAATTATTTTCACTCTGGTCTTATCTCTTTCTCTCTTTACTTCATAGAGGAATCATCCCCATGCTTCCTTTAATCGGAATGCTCACATCAAACGGTTGATCTCACTTTCCTCATCATACACTATACTTACCTTCGTGCTTACCTTCCTTCATTACCTTAATAAGGGCTCAGTAAAGATGGGCCATCATCATGAACGACACTAATTGGACACTATATAGCTCATCGTTTACAATCGGCGATCTACAAACCATCGGACAGTATCGAACATCGTATCATAAACAATTTCCTCCACCACGCAGAATATCATTAATCCTAAGCCAAGTTTTGTCGCATCAACAACGCTAATCCCTTTTTAATCAATTAAGTAATATTAATCTATAATTTTATCGTTAATCTTTAATTTTATCATTAAGCTAATAATTTTAACTCACTTATCTTATTTTTTGCAATAAAATTTTCATTGTTTTATGTGCAGCGCAATTCGAAAGTTTATATAATTTATTTTGAAAACATTTATGAAAATATTTCTCGATCGTCTGATCCAATCATGAGATGCTAATGACTTCTTTTAATTGGAAAAAAATATATCATTCGCTGAAAATACTAATGCGTACGGCATGCATGTATAAAATAAAAAATTGGCATTTTTCATTCAAAATAACGCTTACCCAAGGAGAAGAAGGATTTGGCTGAAAGGATGCAACCATAATCATGTTGCTCTTTACTTTTCATCATTCTTCATAAAGCATTGGTTTAATCGGGATGTTAGACGATTGTGGCAAATAAATTAAAAGCATTAGTGAATAAAGAATAAAATTTGATTATAGTCAATTATCTTTGTAATATGTAAAAGAAATAACAGAATTGCATTAAGAGATATAAGACAATTATGATTGATTGATATTTGTTGCCTATGTCATTTTTAACGTAATGTTAAGTAATGTGAAACGCTTGACGGTAATCAAGACCAACGTAATAATTGTAAGCACTGCATTAGCACTTCCTAATATATTATTCCACGATTAAAAGATTTTTTTATAATAAATAATGTAAAGAATAAGTTCTTGGATTCTCCTCAGGTTTTATTTACCGATCTTCAAAAAATTTGTATGATTAACACATTATGATGAAATTAACAAATGTATATTTTGACTTAAATTTAATCAATTTATTTGTTAATATACGTTTAATCCAACTAGTTTTTAATACCTGTCTATTCAGAGTTATGATAATTATTATATATTTAAATGTTTTCCTTTTTTTCAGGTATGATTATGTTTACTTATCACGAACCTATGTTTTCGCTAGCATGAGTTAGCGAAAATTTCTCCACATTGTACATTACTGTATCATACGCATTATTATATGCATTATTATATCATCACACGATCGTTATTTCGTCATCGTGCGTTTTAATTTATTTGCTTGTTGGAACGTGTTTTATTATGCAATTACGTTCTCTTCATACTGTTATCGTTTATGCTTTAAACTGCATATGAAAAAATCCGATACGAGAGATATGCAGTTCTTGCAGATAAATTAAAGCTACCATTTAATACTGTATTTTACCTGTACGTTAAAAGTGTGCCTGTGTTTGCATGCGTGAGATATGTCGTAAGCTTACCTACATTTCTTTAATCTTTAATTAATACGATGCTTATATCGTTATTGGTAAGATAACGATATTCTTATGATTTTACTTTAATTATTTTTTTTTTCTAGCACATTAAATGTAGCGAAATAAATAAACTGCACTAGTAGATAGAAATGAATTGTTTTTTTCCAACTTCAGCAAGCGGTGGAAGAGAAGTACAAGCTCTGTGACGAGACACTATCTAAGCTTCTACAGTGGGTCTCCGAAGTTGAGAATAGACTGGCGAATCAAGATACCGTCAAAGAAGACGTAGAGGAGTTGAGAAAACAGATAATTATCATGAAAGTAAGCAGAACTTATTATATATAATTATAATTTGTGTTAATCGAGCAATTGATCTAAATATATTTATTTTATAGAATTAAATAATTACGTAAAATGTGTTATTTGTAGGAAATAAAGGAGGATCTTGAATCTCACAGTCGACCCGTGTCATCCTGTCTAGATCAGATTCGACAAGTCGTCTTGACTGGCAGCAACGTGTTATCTAGCGACGAAGTGTCCACATTAGAGAAGAATGGTCGATCTTTAAAAACTCGATTTGACAAAGCATTAGATCGTACTGACAAATTAGTGAAACGTCTTATTGGTGCGAGAGATGAACTAACAAAGTTCAAGTCAGTATCTTTCATGTAATTACAGTACAATTTAGTGTCTTCCGAATTTAATCGATTTCTTTCATATAGGAATGAGCTGATGACATTCTCGATTTGGTTGGACAAAGCCAGAAGCGTGCTCGAGGATAAGGAGCGTTCCTTATCCGATTTGAACAAACTTAGTACCAGCACAGATACAACTCGCGATTTCATCAGTGATGTTATTGCTCATCAGGCAGATTTGAGATTTATTACAATGGCCGCACAGAAATTCGTTGACGAGAGTAAAGAGTACCTCCAAGTTCTTAACGACTTCAGGACCAGCTTGCCGCAAAGATTGCCACATAAAGAGCCCACAGCTAGCCAAGATTCACCGGTACGAGCCGAAGTATCCAATGCAACTGCTCGATACAAAGATTTATTATCTCGAGCGAATCTCCTGTCAGATAGATTGTCGGGAGTTGGCGGCAAACAGAGAGATTATCACGATTCTTTAGATAAAGCTAGAACGTGGTTGAGAGACGTTGAGCCAAAAGTTATCAGAGTTATTTCCGAATCTGTTGCCGCAGAACCGAAACAAGTAGAAGATCAATTGAGCAAAGCTAAGGCGTTGAACAACGAATTCCTCGCTAATGAACGTCTAATTGACAATGTTAAACACAGCGTTGAGGCACTGTTACATTCTTTGGAAGGCCAACTAACGATCAACGAGGCTAGAGAACTTGAGGAACCAGTGAGGGTAGTAGAAGATAAGTACAAACAACTCAGTAATGCTCTGGCTGATAAATGTCAAGAACTTGACACAGCGTTAGTAAGAAGTCAAGGAGTGCAGGATGCATTGGACAGTCTGGTTGCATGGCTGAACAACGTTGAAAGTCAATTTAAGTAAGTACAGGAGATATACAATTATATCGTTTCTGAATTATTTTGTGTTATCTTAAATTTATCTTTATTTTAATTATACTTTAACAAATCGTATATTCTATAGATCGCTTCAACGTCCAGCAAGTTTGCAGAAGGAACGCTTGGAGGAACAGCAAAGAGAACAGCGATTACTTCAAGCAGATCTAGATAGTCATCGTTTGAGCGTAGAAACTATTACAGCGAATGCTCAGGATCTACTCTTGAATTCGAGCAACATTCGCATTGCCAAACGTATTGAAAGCAAGCTGAAGGATGTGCAAAGTAGATTTGAAAAATTGATGGATAAATCTTTGAGACGCGGTGAATTTTTGGATGAAATCGCGCAGGCCCTGAACGAATTCCTCGGAGACGTGGCCAAATTCGAGAGTTGGTATGCACATATGATGGAAGTTCTCGATTCAAGAGATCTGAACAAACTTGACATGTCAGAGTACGAGGCTAAAATGGCTCAACTGATTGACATGCGCGAGGATCAGCGCGGAAACTTCGAAGATCTCATACGCAATGGAAAGAATCTGATTTCTAAGAAGGATATAACCGAAGCAGGCACGATTAGAGATAAGATCAAAGCACTCGAGTCTCAGTGGAAGGAACTAAACAATCTGCTCGACGAGAAACAACGATTGTGCAAATCTAGAGCGGAGCAGCACACAGCTTATGAGAAATTGCGGGATCAAATACTTGATTGGCTTACTCGTACAGAAAACAAGGTGCAAGGACTTGAGCCAGTCGCCGTAGATTTGGACAAATTAAAAATACAGCAAGAGGATTTGAAGCCTATACAAAAAGAATATCGCGATTACGGCAATACGGTTGATAAAATCAATGATCTCGGTATTGCTTATGACAGTTTGATGAAGGAACGCGGCGAAAGTCCAACGCGTCGACGTGGCAGTGCTAGTCCGACGAAGAGACCAGGTATTACATTTGCTATTATTACATCTATGATTTTGCATAGATACTTTTCGATAGCATGATTTTATGCAAACTTGTACATTGATGTTTTGCAAATTGTTACCAATTTAGTAACTTATCAATTACAACTAGCTCATATATCTTTCACATTGCATCTTTTTCAGCACATGATCATTGCTATTTCCGTTACGTTTGATCGTTTTTTTCTGTCATTTTTTTTGTAGTACTGCGAATGTCACAAGACGGTCGCTCGCCGTCACCCACTAAATCCTACGCAGTTCAAAGTCCGGTCTCCCCAGGTGGTAGCAGTGGATTCAGCAGCCGTCGTTCGAGCCAAGATGGTTTCCATCTCGAGGAATTATCGCCTGTTCAACAGCAACTTTCGGAAATTAATCACAGATACGGATTACTCGGCGTCAGATTGTCGGATCGCCAAACGGAGTTAGATAATATTAGGGAGGAATTGAAGAAACATTTGGACCATTTGAAAACACTTTCACAATTCTTGGATAAGGTAGTTATTTTTTAGAATAACATTACATTTTTAATTGTAACGTATATTTGATATTTGAATAATACAAAAAATATTATATAACAGAGCATAATACACAATTTTTGTCACTAGATTCAGCGGCAATTGCCTAAAGAAAGCATGCCTGCAACTAAAGATGATGCAGACAAAACGGTCAAACAAGTTAAGGTTCTCATTGAGGAGATGTATGAGAAACAATCTCTGCTGGATAGTACTCGAACGCAAGTGCGTGATTTGGTCAGACGTAAGAAAGGAGCTGACGGTATGGATAGATTGAACGACGAGATGGAAGACGTTGCTAGTCGGTGGAGATCAATTTCGGACAGATGCAAAGACCGAATTAAATTCCTGGAAGATATTAAAGATTTTTATGACACGTATGATGGTCTTAACTCTTGGCTTGGCGCTAAAGAGCGTATGCTGGGCGCTTTAGGACCAATTTCGGCTGATCCTCGGATGGTCGCAAGTCAAGTGCAACAAGTACAGGTTTTGCGAGAGGAGTTTAGAACTCAGCAACCGCAATTGGATCATCTCGTACAAATTGGAGAAAGTATCCTCATCACGATATCCATAGATTCGATAGATGGTCAGAAGATAAATGCGAAATTGCAGAGTATTTTACAGAGATGGGCAGATCAAATGGGAAGACTAGATGAAAGAGCTCAGAGTTTAGGTGACGCTGTTGATACTAGTCGTGAATTCGATGCCAGCCTTAACCGGCTGCGAGACGCTCTGCAAGGAATCTCAGATAATTTAGATGAGTTGACTCTTGAGAAGGATCCCGAAGAACAGCTTCGTAAAATCGAGAATCTAGAAAGACAATTGGAAGGTCAGAGACCATTGTTAGCGGATGTGGAAATGGCCGGTGCACAGTTGTGTGAGGTTCTAAGTGATCCAGCATCGAGATCCGAGATTCAAGGAAAGCTCGCCACAGTCGGCAAGATGTACAATAACTTGCAGAAAAAGCTGGATCATAGAAAAGCAGAAATCGAAGGTAATCTGCGAGATGGAAGACAATTCGAAGCCTCCTGTAGCAGAACTCTGGGATGGCTTGCGGACGAACTTGGAAACATGTCTGAAAAATTGCTAGTATCTGCTGATAGAGAAATACTACAACAGCAACTTGATCATCACGAGGTATGTACCATATTTAAAAAATTCTATGTTTAATTATATGTTTCATGTCTTCTTAGTTTTATTTTCTTGATAAAAACAAAACAATTTTTAGCCTGTTTATCGTAATGTGATGGGTAAAGAACATGAAGTCATAATGCTGTTGAACAAAGGACGCGACATACTTTCGCGGTCTCAGAAAACTGAAAATCGTTCGCTTCAACGTGATTTGGATAAGATGCAGTCACAGTGGGACCGTTTGAAGAAGGATACTGTTGAAAGGCACACTCGATTGCAGACCTGCGCGGAACATTGCAAGAAATACTATAAAGCTCAAGATGTATTTCTTCCATGGCTTCGACAAGCCGAGGATAAATTGGATAGTTTGATTCCCACTTCCTTTAGACGCAAGGACATCGAGAAACAACTGAAAGAATTGTCATCGTTTAGGAACGAAGTATGGAAACATTCCGGAGAATTCGAAAATAACAAGATGCTAGGCGAGACATTTGTCGGAGCTTGTGATATTGATAAGCAAAATGTAAAGAACGAGCTTAGTGCTATGAAAACTAGATGGGATAAATTAAATAATGGTATGTTTAAATTCGCTATTGTAATTATATCCTAATTTATTACATATTTAGATTTAGTGTTGTTTTATTATATAATATTATAATTTAATTATATATTTCTTGTAGACTTGCTGTCTAGAACACAATCTTTGGAAGATACTGCACGTCATCTAATGGATTTCAATGAAAACTTACGCGATTTGCAACACGGTTTACAACGTTGTGAAGATAAGTTATCTTCACATGATGCTCTTGGCGGAGCGGCTAAAGATCCGAAACTTCTTGATAGAATAAAGGTAATTAGATTATATTTTCACGCACAAAATAAAAACTACGATTAATATAAAATATATACTAATTATATAATTTTAGAACTTACGAGAGGAAACAACGAGCTTGAAGAAACCTTTGCAGTGTGTAAGACAACAGGCTAATGATCTTGTGAACAAAGCCGGCGAGCAAGGCGTCGATGCGACACATTTACAAGACGAAATTGACAATGTTACTGATCGCATTAACGACCTGCAAGCGAAACTAGATGACAGATGCAACGAACTGCAAAGTGCAGCGACAGCGGTTGCGCAATTTAATGATCAAGCGAAATTGATTAATCAACATCTGTCTGCTCTTGAAAAAGATCTAGATTCCATGAAAGCACCCGGTAGAGAAATCAAGATTGTAAGAGGACAATTAGAGGATATTGCCAAGATTGTTAGCAGAATTAACAAACTCTATGAAGAAATTGGCGATCTGGCGAATCTTGGCGAACGTTTGGTTGATTATGGCTTCGCTGCTGACGCTGTAGCCACAAGAGATCAGGTTGACGGATTTAAACGGCAAATTGGTAAACTGGATGAGCGAGCGCGTAACAGAGAAGATGAACTCACTTCTACTTTGAACAAGTTACAAGAGTTCTATCAATTACACGCAAATGTTATGGAGGGTATCAATGATGCAAATGAACAAGTCAGAAGATTTAAACCTGTGGGATCCGAAGTGGACTCTATTAAAGCTCAACAGGAGGACTTCAGAACTCTCAAAATTAAAAGGATTGAACCACTAGCACACGCCGTTGAAGATTGTAACGTGCTCGGTCAAAACCTCATACAAACTGCAGGACGAGATGTCAATACCAGTAATATCGAAAAAGACGTCGATAAAATGAACGAAAGGTGGAACGACTTAAAAGATAGAGTAAGCGTTCGATTTATATCTAAATATTAAGAAATGTATATATTTATTCGACATATTTATGCGAAAATTAACAACATACACTATTTTATTACTTAATTAATAATTATTTATTTTTAGCTGAACGAGCGCGATCGCAGGTTGGACGTTGGATTATTGCAGTCGGGCAAGTTCCAAGAGGCTTTAGATGGCTTAGCGAAATGGTTGACCGATACGGAAGACATGGTTTCGAATCAAAAGCCACCTTCTTCAGATTACAAAGTCGTGAAGGCGCAATTGCAAGAACAGAAATTCCTGAAGAAGATGTTGATGGACCGACAAAATTCTATGACGTCTCTCTACAATATGGGACGAGAAGTAGCCGCCGATGCGGACCCAAAGGAACGTAAGGCCATTGAGAAACAATTGAATGATCTAGTGGGCAGATTTGATAATCTGACGGAAAGCGCCGCAGAGAGGATGGATGCTCTTGAGCAAGCAATGACGGTAGCGAAACGATTCCAAGATAAGTTAGTACCACTTACTATCTGGTTGGACAAGACGGAGAAGAAAGTCAGGGACATGGAATTGGTTCCTACCGACGAAGAGAAAATACAACAGCGTGTCAATGAACATGACATACTTCATGAAGATATTATATCGAAGACGCCAGATTTTAGCGAACTCACGGAGATAGCGAGCCAACTTATGTCGCTGGTAGGCGAAGATGAGGCTACTACGTTGGCTGATAAACTGCAGGATGCGGCAGATAGATATGCAGCTTTGGTTGAACGATCCGAAGCTCTCGGTAGCTTGTTACAACGTTCGAGACAAGGCTTACGTCATTTGGTTCTTACGTATCAAGATTTACAAGCATGGATGGAAAACATGGAGATCCGATTGTCGAAGTATCGCATCTTGGCTGTACATACGGAAAAGCTTTTACAACAAATGGAAGATCTCGCGGATCTTACAGAAGAAGTATCTACGCGACAAACGGAAGTTGACAGTACCGTAGATTCCGGCCTAGAACTGATGAAACACATCTCGAGTGACGAAGCACTTCAACTAAAGGACAAATTGGATTCTCTGCAACGACGGTTTAACGATCTTGTCACGCGCGGCTCAGATCTTTTAAAACATGCCCAAGAGTCCTTACCATTGGTGCAACAATTCCATGATAATCACAATCGTCTGATGGATTGGATGCAAGGCGCAGAGGCTGCTTTGCAGTCCGCCGAACCTCGTGAGGAAGAGATTATCCGACTCGAGATGGAAATATCGGAATATAGACCCGTCTTAGACAAGATCAATGCTGTGGGTCCACAGCTGTGTCAAATGTCGCCAGGAGAAGGTGCTGCGACAATCGAAGGTCTCGTAACCAGGGACAACAGGCGATTCGATGCAATTGCTGAACAGATCCAAAGAAAGGCAGAAAGAATTCAATTGAGCAAACAGCGATCTTTGGAAGTGATTGGCGATATCGATGATCTGCTCGATTGGTTTAGAGAAGTGGATAATCAACTTCGAGAGGCTGAGCCGCCCAGCAGCGAGCCTGAAATTATTAGAGTACAATTGAAAGAACATAAAGCGCTTAATGATGATATATCCAGTCAGAAAGGTAGAGTTCGTGATGTTATTTCGACTGCAAAAAAAGTAATACGCGAGAATGCTCAGCACGAAGACACATCTACTATCAGAGATAAGATGGAGGACTTGCGCGAAACAATGGAAATTGTATCGGCTTTATCAACGGACAGATTGGGAGCTCTCGAGCAAGCTCTACCGTTAGCAGAACATCTTCGCGATACTCACGCTGGCCTGGTCAGTTGGCTCGAGGAGGCTGAACAACAAGTCGCTATGTTACCTATGCCTGCCTTGCGGCCTGACTTGATAGCGGCGCAACAGGATAAAAATGAGCTTCTTATACAGAGCATTAACGAGCATAAACCTCTAGTAGAGAAACTCAATAAGACCGGTGAAGCGCTCATTAAGTTGTGCAATGAAGAAGAAGGTATAAAAGTGCAAGACATCTTGGACAATGATAACGCTCGCTATGCGGCATTGAGAGCCGAGCTAAGAGGTCGGCAACAAGCGCTGGAGCAGGCACTGCAGGAATCCTCTCAGTTCTCTGATAAACTGGAGGGTATGCTGCGCGCATTGTCTTCTACCGCCGATCAGGTGAACGGCGCTGAACCCATCAGTGCTCATCCAGCTCGTTTACGCGACCAGATGGAAGAAAATGCTGCCTTAGCAGACGATCTTGCTCAGAGATCCGAGGCTTACGCGGCTGTTAAAAAAGCAGCGGACGATGTGATCAGCAAGGCCGGCAATAGGGCCGATCCGGCAGTGAAAGACATCAAACGCAAGCTGGATAAACTTAATAGATTATGGACCGACGTCCAAAAGGCCACGACCGATCGCGGTCACACTTTAGATGACACTCTAGCCGTCGCCGAAAAATTCTGGGCCGAGTTGAACGGAGTCATGGCCACTTTAAGAGAACTACAAGATGCGCTGGCTGGACAGGCGCCACCGGCGGCTCAACCAGCTGCTATCCAGCAACAGCAAGTAGCATTGCAAGAAATTCGACAAGAGATCGATCAGACCAAGCCAGATGTTGAACAAGTCCGAACATCAGGACACGAATTGATGGGCTTGTGCGGCGAGCCGGACAAACCTGAAGTACGAAAACACATTGAAGATTTGGATCAGGCTTGGGATAACGTCACCGCTCTGTATGCCAGACGCGAGGAGAATTTGATCGACGCCATGGAGAAAGCGATGGAGTTCCACGAGACGCTACAGAACTTGTTGGAGTTCTTGCAAGAGGCCGAAGATAGATTTGCAGAGATGGGCCCGCTTGGTAGTGATATTGATGAAGTGAAGAAGCAGATCAAGCAGCTGGCCAATTTTAAGGCCGAAGTGGATCCGCATATGGTGAAGGTCGAGGCGTTGAACAGGTGACGATTTAATTTTTAAGTTAAAACAGAATTTACATGTAAATGGCGTTACAAAGAGTTCAGTGCGCAGCATTGTCCCCTTTGTGCAACTCCCGTCCGATAATTATTTGCGATGAGTGACCTTCGAAAAAATGTAAAATCTAATCCCGTCTCTTTTGTTTTTCTGCGCCGGTTCCCGAACATAGGAGTCTGACAAGGCAAGTTAATCTCTCTCTGTGTTGTCGCTGGTAGTTAGAGCATGGCTTCGTATTGTTCTGAACGTGTTTATTTCCCCCTGTTTAGTTTAATAATCTTATTGCCCCTTAACAATTGCGTCATCACATTTAATCGGATCCTCCCCCTTTATGTTACCTCTAGGCAGATTGCTCAGCCGCATGTAGCAGGTAAACCGAGTGATCAATCGAGAATTCGTAGATGATAATATAATTTATATTTTTGATAGAAATAATATGGAAACGGCAGTGATTAATATCCAGTTGATATTAATTCCTCCGGTAGTTAAACTTATTGAAATTTTTATACCCGTCCTCCCTGTAGATATGGTTCATTGTTGTGTGGTTCGAGTATATATTGCAACATATACGTTTCTATATAACATCACGAGAAATAACGATACATTTTGTAACACTATTATCGTTTTTTCATATCTAGACAAGCAGCTGAATTAACGGAAAGAACATCCTCCGAACAAGCAGCAGCCATCAAGGAACCGCTTGGTGCCGTGAATAAACGATGGGACGGATTACTGAGAGGCTTGGTGGAAAGGCAGCGATTACTGGAGAATGCATTATTACGACTCGGTCAATTCCAGCATGCTTTGGATGAACTATTAGTATGGATCGAGAAAACTGATAAGACATTGGATAATCTCAGACCAGTGGCAGGTGATCCACAAGTGATCGAAGTCGAGTTGGCCAAGCTGAAGGTCCTAGTAAACGATATACAAGCTCATCAGACGAGCGTCGATACTCTAAATGATGCTGGACGACAATTGATTGAGGATGGCAAAGGTACTGCAGAAGCGTCTACTACAGCCGATAAACTAGGCACTTTGAATCGTCGTTGGCGAGATCTATTGCAACGCGCCGCTGATCGCCAGCGAGAACTAGAAGATGCTTTACGAGAGGCACAATCCTTCACTGCTGAAATACAGGACTTGCTGTCGTGGTTAGGCGATGTGGATAACATGATAGTAGCATCCAAGCCAGTTGGTGGATTACCTGAGACTGCATCCGAACAGTTGGAACGTTTTATGGAGGTGTTTAACGAATTGGAACAAAACCGTCCGAAAGTCGAAACGGTGCTGCAACAAGGACAGGAATATTTGAAAAAAGCGGATACGAGCAGCGCCGGTGGATTGAATCACAATCTGCGAACGTTGAAGCAAAAATGGGACAACGTGCTTTCACGCGCCAGCGATAAGAAGATAAAGTTAGAAATTGCTCTGAAGGAGGCCACTGAGTTCCACGACGCATTACAAGCTTTCGTCGATTGGTTGACAAATGCTGAGAAGATTCTGACGAATCTTAGACCGGTCTCGAGGGTCATGGAAACTATACTTCAACAAATCGAGGAACACAAAGCCTTCCAAAAGGACGTCGGTGTCCATCGCGAAACTATGCTAAATCTTGACAAAAAAGGAACCCATCTCAAATACTTCTCTCAAAAACAAGACGTGATACTTATAAGAAACTTGCTCGTGAGTGTGCAACATAGATGGGAACGAGTAGTTTCCAAGTCAGCCGAGAGAACGAGGGCTTTAGATCACGGTTACAAGGAAGCTAGAGAGTTCCACGATAGCTGGTCGAACCTAATGAACTGGTTGGATGATACCGAGAAGACTTTGGACGAAGTCGCTGCTGATGGACTTGGCGGCAATGATCCAGATAAGATTAAATCACGCCTTAATAGACACCGCGAAGTACAAAAGGCACTGAGTGCTAAGCAGGGCACGTACGACAATACCATGAAGAACGGTAAAACATTGAAGGACAAGGCGCCGAAATCCGATGAACTTGCTTTGAGGGAACTTCTAAATGAGTTGAAGAATAAATGGACTATGGTCTGCGGTAAATGCGTGGATCGACAACGAAAATTGGAGGAAGCCTTACTATTCTCTGGACAATTCAAGGATGCGATTCAGGCGCTGTTGGAATGGTTGAGCAAGACCGAAAAATATTTGGCCAATCCTGGACCACTTTATGGTGACCTGGATACGGTAACCAATTTAGTGGAGCAACATAGGAACTTTGAAAGAGATCTGGAGTTACGCGCCTCACAAATGGAATCCGTCATTAAAACTGGTCGCGAATTGGAATCTAAAGCCTCCATTGAGGATGCGTCAATGATCAGATCACAGTTGTCGGAATTAAATAGTCTCTGGGATAGAGTAACCAGTCTCTCGACGAAGAAGTCCAGACTATTGGAAGAAGCTCTTAGAGAGGCCGAACGGCTTCATAAAGCCGTTCACATGTTACTGGAATGGTTGAGTGACGCGGAGATGAAGCTACGATTCGCTGGACCACTGCCGGAAGACGAGCAGGAGAGTAGGAACCAATTAATGGAGCATCAGAGATTCCTTCGCGAGTTACAAACTAAGGAAATTGAAAAAGACAACACATTAGAGTTGGCACATATTATTCTTGGAAAAGCGCATCCTGATGGTGCCGCAGTTATCAAACACTGGATCACAATTATTCAGTCTAGATGGGAAGAAGTGGCAACATGGGCCTACCAAAGGAACCAAAGACTGGAGAATCATATGCAGGGATTACAGGTTTGTACTACACTAAATATCTATCTTATATAAGTCACATTTTATCTTATAGAAAAAATGAATATTGTTGTTATGTGTGAATTTGCAGGATCTTGATAATCTTCTCGAAGAGTTATTAGCCTGGCTCGAAGGTTTGGAGAATACTTTGAACGCCTTAGAGGCGGAACCTTTGCCCGATGATAGGGCTACGCTCGAAATGCTTATCGCGGATCACAGAGAATTCATGGAGAATACCAGCCGAAGACAAAACGAGGTTGATCGCGTGTGCAAAGCCCGACAAATTAAGCCAATAAAAGATGCAAGGAAAATATCGAAAGTCAGATCACCAGCACCTACGTACGTATTTATCAACGCGAGAATTTATATATTGATACAATTAAAATCCTTTCTGTTTTTGTGAAGAAATATGAATACCTACGTAATGAATAATATGCACAGCATTGTGCATCATTATGCTTACTTCATGTTAAAATCGTTAAGTGTTTGCATTCTGTTCATATATGTATTGCATCTGTATCTGTGTTAATTATTTCAACTTGTTTCTCACAAATTTTGCTATGTGCACATTGCAATTTTAGGAAAATTTTCAGACCATCATGTTTTGAAAGAATCTTTTACTTTGCTAGATGCTCGCAGTTATTGTCATCTTTTATGTATTGAATTTCGTACATTGTGTGTATTTAACTGTCGCATGATATGTTGCTTTTGCAATGGAATTTCAGTAAGGATCTCTATCAGGATAACGAGCATGAGCAGCCTCAGCCTCGTAAACAAAGGTGCGTTATCCATTATAACATATGTAAATATTTTCCACTTATTCTAATCACGTAATTATTTCGTAAGTACAGTGTTTATGCTATTATGCATTTTCAGTAGAAATGTGTGCGTTTTATTTTTGTATGATTTTTTATAATATTGAATACACAACATTCTCATTACACGATAATTCTTGTTCGCATAATAATTTCACAGTATCCAGCAACAGGAGCAGAAGTTTAGAATTAGATGTATTAACTCATTTGCTTTTCACTCGTGTGTGACTACTATATGCATAAACTTATTACTGTTCACAACGCACTGTGTTAAGAAAATCAGATACATTATATAATGTACGCAACCGTTCAACAAAAAAATCAAGCTTTGCCGTTGTTGTAAAATTCTTTAATACGATTGATCGTGGTCTTAGTTTCCCACTGGATTTAAAAGTATAAATCAATTATATTAAAGAATATTACAACAATGCAAAAGTACTTCTTCTGCTGAACGCAGCTAATATGTTCTTTTGCATTTTGTGTTATACATTGTGTCATTATAATGCAAACATGTAGCTTTAAGACACGATTAATTCTTTTTCAACATGATGTGAAATTGACTTTTTTTTAGATATTTATATAAAATATAATTTCCACATGTACGTAAGAATCGACACTTGATAAAAACTCGCGTTAATTTTTTACACTTTTATAATCTAATACTCACAAACGAAAAACAATCTATAAACCAGAGTGCTGTATTGAGACGCGAAGAAAAGCGTTTTATAGGTGCCTTATTTAGTAGAGAATGTTTGAGTGATGTGACGCATGTTCCTGTTTAGCCGAGGCAGCCCAGGTCGTGACAGAACACCAGATCTTTCATTGCCACACATCGGTCCACGCTTCCCACCCAAAGGAAGGTTCGTTACACCTAGTTTTATTTCAGTTCATTCTGCGCCATTCCATCATTTTCATCATACAAGCATTGCTACACTTATCGTACAACTTATTATACAACTCATTAATATCTCAGTAATGGGATTATTGTTTTTTTTTTTTAATTTTTTTGCGGGATGACATGTGGTCGGGTTTTCATAAATTGTTACTGTTCGTTCAGAAAATTGTTTGTCTTGTGAAAGTGTGAAGTCTTAGATTTTCTGCAACATTTACATTTGAATTTGTTATTGAGTTGTTTATGCGAAGATCATACCTCATTGTTATATCTTTTTCTTGAAATTATCTCTGTGATTAATTACCTTAATAAGATAACCTTTCACATTTTTAATTCTTATGTATTACATATATATATATATATTTTTTTTTTCATGTATAAATATATATATATTTTTTTTTCTTCTTATAAACAGCAAAGGAGCCGAGCCAGAATTCCGCAGTCCGAGAGTTAAGCTTCTCTGGGATAAGTGGCGTCACGTTTGGATGCTAGCGTGGGAACGACAACGCCGTTTGCAGGATAAATATAATTACATTCAAGAGCTGGATCGCGTTGCTAACTTCAGCTGGGAAGATTGGCGCAAACGGGTAAGAATTTTTAAAAAAAGGCGCCAAGTATATTTGTTCTTCAAAGAAAAAATTGTTATACAACACAAACCCAAATCGGTAACATTTTTAATTTTGCTTTAAATTAAATTTAAATAGAATATTATATTATTTTGTTTGTATTTATATTATTTTGTGTAGGATTAAAACTACTTGGCTTGGAATAGGAAGACTTTTAAATATAAACATATGTATACCTACATATTATTTAAAAGTAATTTAAAAAAAATTGATATTACTTGAATTTGTATGGTATGACGATTTTTATATGTTCTCTTTTTCTCTTTTATCTTTGATAGAAATAAAAATTAATCGTTTCTTTATCAATTATTATGAACCATTTAAATATATAGTATTTATTTTCTAATTGTAGTTCTTAAAATTCATGAATCATAAGAAGTCCAGACTAACGGATCTATTCAGGAAAATGGATAAGAATAATGATGGACTTATACCAAGGGACGACTTCATTCAAGGAATTATGAACACCAGTATTTATCATATCTTGTTTATTTTTTTTTCTATATAAAAACATTTATTTTTCTAATATCCTAATTATTTCGAATTCATAGAATTCGAGACTTCCCGTCTGGAAATGGGAGCTGTTGCCGATCTCTTCGATCGTCACGGCGAAGGCTTGATAGATTGGAAGGAGTTCATCGCCGCTCTGCGACCCGACTGGGAAGAACGACGCACTTACAACGACACGGACAAGATACATGATGAAGTTAAACGGTTAGTTATGCTGTGCACCTGTCGCCAGAAGTTCCGCGTTTTCCAAGTTGGCGAAGGAAAGTACAGGGTATGTATATAATTAAATAACGATTTAATGAAACGGACATGCATTTATCTAATTGTAATCAAATATCTGTTAATATCTATTAATAATTACATATGACTTAATTATAACGACTACGAAATTGCAGTTTGGAGATAGCCAGAAATTACGATTGGTTCGAATTCTACGTTCCACTGTTATGGTACGCGTCGGTGGAGGCTGGGTAGCGTTAGACGAGTTCCTTCTAAAGAACGATCCATGCCGCGGTAAGTATTCATCACGAGCCTTTAATCTGCGCGATATATATAGGCAATCCGAGATCAGGTTGAGATAAATCGTAATTTATACTCTCACGATTTTTTTTATTATACCAATAGTAAGAAAAAAAAAAGTAATTAATTAAAACGATTTGTGACTGGGTGGAACTATTGGATTAATGCGAAACATATTTGCAAGGCAAATTACTCCTTAATTGCAAGCAAATAACTTTCAAAAGAAATTTTCTACTGTCTCCTTCTCTTTGTCCTTCTTTCCCAAGAGGCAATTAAACTTGCGTTCCCGTTTAATTTCGATATTTCTAATAATCGAAAATGATACTTTTAAGTATTTGTTATTATAACAATATGTTAACGTTTTGTTTTTGTTTCCATCGCTGTTACTTCACATTAATCAACATTACTTTGCTTTGCTGCATTAAATGTAGAAATGTAGTACCATTTAAGAGAAATTCATTGTCATTAACGAAAGCCTGAACGTCGATTTGATATGACTATTTGTCTACTCTATATCCTAATAAGACTAACTAAAGATATTAAGATAATATGTATATTATATATACGATTTCCACTCCTGAGGGGTCATAACATTGCCATTATAATCAGACATTAAATGCAACTCACTGTTAATTTAATATTAAAGAACAATTGAGAGTAGTGTACATTCGCTGTTTATTGCTTTTGCTTATCTAGAAACTATTTTTCCGGTATATGTATATTGGTTTACTTCGTTGATATTCGATAAAAAAAATCAATTTAATATTATTATTTTTACATTAAATTTTACATTTATTATATTATATTTACGCTATAACATGCATGACAATTTAATTTAATCACTTCAATATTGAATTGCGTGAAAAATGTCTATTGTCAGTTTTCTCTCTACTTTTCTTTTAATTTCTCTCTTTGCCTTTTCCGCCAATGATAAATTCATCAATGAATTTTGGAATATCAGTCTTGAGATAATCATTAGTTCTACGTCAGAGAACTTTTCTGGTATAGTACGATTTTATGAGTAGTAGGTAGAAGGTAATATTACAGTAGGCATATCTAACATCTTGTTAACTATGTACTAACGTTAACATAACTGTTCCTTACTGTCCATCGATCCTCCTCACATCCTCGTACGTCTAACTCTACAACAAAAATTTCTGTTTGTTTCATTTTCATGTATATCTTTTACGTTTATATTTTACGTTTGTTTACCGAATGTGTTTCCGTTTACTAAAAAATTATAAACTTCTAAATCGCGGCGCATGCATGAATATATCGACACATCTTGTTTCTTTCTAATCGATTTTGTCTCTCGAATCGTGATTAACTCGTTAAGTTTTTCTGATGCCAATACCGGATCCTAACAAACCGGAACAACATGAGGGTTGGTGTCCGCTCGGTGAGAACTGTTTTACGTGCACAATTCATTCATGGTCTATACATTGAACGAAACTTGCTCGTTCAATTATTAAATTGTCTTATTCAAATTCTCAATTGAATATTTATTACAAGTCCGAGTCGGCCCGAGATATTAGTTAATAACTAGCAATTGCTGTAGTATAGACCATGAAGGTAATATTCCTGCGTATGGTGCATGACTTTATTAGCTTATTCGAACTAATTTTTCGAAGTGTTGCCTTTTTGTTGAGTATGTCTACGTACGTGCGTATACGGTTGTATTATATGGAACGATTGGCAATTACTGTCTGGATAAGGTAAATAGATTGCGCAGATGAAATTAACGCTATAGTTACTGCGTAATATTAACTGTTTTCTTGATGCAATTTCGAGTGCCAGTGTTTAAAAAAAAGAGTGCCTGTATTTATAGTGATGCAGGATTACGTAATATACTGCAGTCGTTTCGCTTTCTTTTCCCTATTTTGTATTTATTTAATTTTCTTTTTTTAGTTTCGGTGAATGGTTCACGTTAGCCAATATCTATCTCTTAATTGATAATTATTTTCTATATAAGTGTTCTATTCTTGCAGTAATATTCAATGTGATTATTTCATCAATTGATTTGCAATTAATTTCAATATATCCTTTGTAGCGCCCCTTTGTAGCCCTTAGCATTTTAATATCCTTGCTAGAAGATAACCAATGCATGTTAGTGAATTTTGGTTTATTTTTACAATTATCCTACTCTGGGAGATGAGTTTTGTATATATGAATATATTGAGACTTCTTATTCTCTCCTCTCCCTTCTTTTAGTTTAGCTTTTCATTTAAAATGTTATATTAAAGTTAAAGAGTACATTGGTTTCTTTTGGCATGGTTACGCGTGTAATTTCAAAAAATTTTTTTAGATTATCCGGAAAGTAAAGTTACAAGATTTTTTAAAAGTACAAACATGCATATATTTTAATGAAACTTACAGGGATTATAGTATAGGTATTACATTATTTTTCCACATAATCACCATTTACCTCAATACATTTCGTCCGTGAGACGAGTTTTTTTATTCCTGTTTCATAGAGGTCTCCCGCCACTTCTTTTAGCCAGTTCTGCACATCGATTTTCAGCTCGTCGTCATCGTAAAAGTGTTTTCCACCCAGATGTTCCTTTAATTTAGTGAAGAGATGATAATCGCTAGATGCGAGATCGGGATTGTGAGAAGAATGGTTTAAAACATCCCAACCAAATGAGCTTTTGCGTTGCACAAGTGGACGAGCATTATCATGAAGGAGACTCTTTTCGTCAGCATCTCACGGCGTTTGTTTTGTATGGCTCTGCAAAGTTTCCTGAGGATCTCACAGAATCTTGCAGCATTGATTGTATCACCTTTCTGCAAAAATTTGACGAAGAGAACTCCTTTTCTGTCCCAGAAAATTATCGTCATGATTTTTTGGGCTGATTGCTGAGTTTTGAATTTTTTTTTGCTGAAGGAGAATGAATATGACGCCACTGCATTGATTATCGTTTGCTCTCTGGGGTATGGTAGTAAATCCAAGTTTTATCTCCCGTCATTATAGAATCGAGAAAAGTCTCACTTTCAGTCTCAAAACGCTCAAGAAATTCTCGCGCAGCTCTGTTGATTTTGTGTTCTTCAGTAAGCATCTTCGGTACCCATCTCGCACATAACTTGCGATATCCCAGTCGATCACTCAGGATTTCATGAACAACAGTTCGTGAAATTTTAGGACGAAGTTCGTGCAGATTATCAATGGTCGAACGGCGATCAGAAAGAAGATGCTCTTCAATTTTTTGCACCAGCTCATCAGTCACCACTTGTGGACGGCCGTCCATTTCTCTCTTCATTGTGAATCTCTATCTTTCAAAATTAAAATTCCGTATCCATTTTGTCACATGTTGTCTTGACATAACATCTTCCCCATAAATTGAAACGATTTCGCGATGAATCGCGCTCATGCTCTTTGCATTCAAATAGCGTATTACAGCGCGCACTTCGCACTTGGCGGGAGACGAAATAAGGGCGCTCATCTTAAACCTTCATTACAACAAAAATTGGAAAGCTACTGATGTCCGGCACCGCTCGTTTACTTCAGCTGGCTCCCCACTGTACAGCAGTGGTAAAAACACATTTCGAAAAATACATTTTTCTGTGAGAACTACGCGCCTTGTAACTTTACTTTCCGGATAACTCTCGTATATTTATACCATGATATATACAGAGAATTCTAGGAATGTCGTATTTTTCTTCAACTAAAAATAAAAAAGGTAAACAAGAAAAGAATAAAAAAAGAGGGAGTATAAAGTTGTTGATAAATAACAATGCTTTGAATAATTTTTTTAATAACCAAATTTTTTATTTATATATAAATGAAGACATTCTGGGATGCTCTATGACGTATTCATTAATTGCTTAGGCATATTGTGAAATGTACGATAATGAGCGACTTAAAGCATATTTTTATTGTAAAAGAGAAAATGTAAGGAATAAATTCCGTCGCAAATCGTACAATTTTCGCCAATATCCTAAGCACTGAAATTAGTATTGTGTAATAAAGTCCCAGTGGCAGAATATTTAGTGGCTCCTGTATCGTAAACCTTATTTATATAATGACTATGATAAACGTAAAACTTGGTTTGAGTGATTGTTTTAATAAGCTTGTACCTCTGTGAAATATTGAATTTTATAATGTCAAACTTTTTTTTTATCATATATTCTAAATATGCTGTCTTTTCTTTTTTTTCCATGATACACAAATGCATACCTGGATACGCCACACTCGCATACATGTACTCGAAAACACGCACGCATACCGTGAAACATTTTTGTCGCCTTTTTTTCTCTTCACTTTTTCTCAAAACTATTTCTCCTGTCCATTATTACCGCTATTCATCAATAACGCGCATGCCTTGATATTGTAAATTTGTAAAAAAAAATATATATATATTGTTACACCTTCCGCTCCATATAACTCACGACTCTCGTTCCGGATATGTTGTCGTTCCGATATTTACACATTCGTTTTCGCTTTCATTTTTTTTTCTTTTTTTTTTCTTGTTAAATCATACATCGTTTTCGCGTTCGTTATTTCATCTTGACGTCATCCGTTCCCGCTGTCTCCGAACTGTTTTCTTGTACAAAATAACATCTCTCTGGCACTTCCTTTCATACCCCGCATCCCCGAAACGCCTTTTCCCTAACTGCGTGCACGCAACACACTGTAGCCAAGGGAAGAACGAATATCGAGCTGCGGGAGCAATTTATACTGGCGGATGGTGTTAGCCAGACTATGACAGCCTTCCGTTCCAAGCCGAGTCCGACCTCGACGCTGCAGCGTACGCAAATGTCCTCCACGAATGCTGGACCAATCACCAAGGTAAGCAGGGTCCATTGTGCAATCGTGGAATCTCTTAAACGCGACGTAGCACGTACGGTATTCATTTTCGCCGCGTCTTTTATTTCTCTGCCGTTAATTTGTAAATTAAACTCATAGAAAACTCGTGAACTTTTATATTAGATCTTGGGTGCCGTTGTGGTACCGCAATAGAAAATATTAAATTGCACGTACAGCTCTTATCTGGACAACTCTATCAGTGATTGATTTATGGTCTCATCGATATCCGTAAGTATACGACTACTTTTCGACTAGCCGTCAATCTAGCAGTTTGACATTCGCATGAGCATGGCAGTTTCCAGTCAGTTGCATTGTTTGAAAATGTAGAGGCATTTAGAAATCTATGACGCTTGTCTACTCTCATCACTGGTCGGTTTTGTAAAAAAAAATAAAAAAAAACAGTTTGAGTACACCAACTAAAAGCCAGACCCGACGTCTCAAGCTCTTCGTTCGACCTCAGGAGATGTGATTTCGTAAATTTCTTGCCTATCTTTTTCCGAAAATCCTTTCCAACCTTCATCACTTCGTAACAGCAAAAGGAAAATTGTCCCAATTCCACACAATCACTTATCCTTGTGAAATCCTATGAAGACAAATGTTACATTAGATATTAAATTGAGAAATTTTTTACATTGTGATCCGAGTCAGTTCAGAAGAAAAGACATGTTGGAATCATATATCAATTTAGTGTGGAGATAGCTGTTCGTTTCAGGAATATTTTTCACTTGTTGGCGTGTGAGCCTTCCGAAAAAAGGGGCCACTACAATTGCATGAGAAAGCTAAAGATTTTCGTTTGTGGTGTAGCGGAGGAGTTTATGAGCCAGCTGATGCCGATATTTGAGAATTTGAGGCAAAAGGAGGACCTCCCGTGCTCGTATCCCCTTCACATGCACGCCCCCTCTTATCATTGGGTAAATAACGAAATCTTTCTCAATTTTCTATTTCTTGGCGTTCGTGTGATGCTGTACACACTTGAGTTTTGGAGTTTGAGTGCGGTCGCGGCACGCGATTTGAGTCGATCGTCGGTGCATTGTGTATTTCTGGACTGTCAGTATGTTTGCTTTTTTCTCTTTTATTTTTTTTTATTTATATCCTATACTGCACAAACCTTAAGGGATCCATCCTAAAAACGAAGATATTTTATATTCTAAGGACATGTCTAGAAAGTTCCTTCGGTTCCTTAAAGTTTGCTGTATGGGATATTATGGAGATTCTCCGATGATGTATATATGCCAGATGTAAACAATAATTATGAATAATCAACGAGCATAAGTAATTGTTCATAATCTTTGTATCATAAATGCTTTCGACTGTAATGAAGTTGATAAATGCATGTCAGAAGAAAATGTTTGTATGAAGAAAGTATTGTGAAGGAGAATGAATAGGAGCAGAGACTTAAAAAGAAATTTCCGGTTCATTATCACATATCTTATCATTATGTCTGCCTCGAGCCTGTCCATTTTTCTTTAAAAATTGTAAATCCATTTTACGATCTGATATTGTTTGAGATAGCATGTTACATCTCGTCACATTCATTCAAGCACATTGCTCTGCATTGACTTAATTCTTTTTTTGATTGATCGTCGAATGTGTCTGATTTTATCAGAATTATTTGGACGCCTCTTAACTTCCTGACCCTTGACCCTAGAAAATGATTGTCCATTCAATTTTGAGCATGATCAAATGTCTCTTTCGCTGATTATTATCTCATTTTTTAATGTAACGTAAATATCGAGCAACAAACTATCGGCAATTTTATCAAGAATTAATTTCTCATTTTTTGCATCTTTCAATCTTATATTCGAAAGAACATCGTCAATAACAGTCCTAAAATTTTTTTATGAGCGATTTAAAATTGACTTTTTGCAAATAAGTTCGCGTAGTAGACATGCGTTTATTAGTATGGCAAAATGAAAAACGTATCGGGGATATGTAATCAATTTAATTAAACATGGACATGCATAACGAATGTGTATCCTGTATTGCTGCGTGCGTAGTGGCATTGATCGGAGATACTTCGAATCACCATAAGCTACTATATCTCTCCCAACTTCTTGTGGTAAGTTTTGCATGACACTTCGCTTTACCTATTACCCGAATATGGTAACTTTTATTTTACATTCTGTATTATTTAATCTTGATATTTCAACAGCTTCGACGAGCGTAATGGACCGCAAACCGGTATATCTTCATTAGTTATGGCTGTGCACAAGTTTGTGTTGCTTGTTAAACTTCTAGCGATAATAACACGATAGAATTATTGGTCTAATTTAACCGATTTAAATTTCTAGAAACAAGGGCTTTCACATTTTAACTGCTGCGTTTATCTATGTACTTTGAATGAATAATTAAAGTTAACAGTTGCAGACTTCTATTCTTTTATATTTTCTCGTAGAATACTTTTTCACATTAGAGTATTAGAGAAAGCACATGTATTTTCTATTACTATAAACATATTAAAAATTTAGTAATATTTAGTATTGTAATATCTAGTTCATATAAATACAGACATATGTCTTTATTTTATCTGATACTGCTTGATTTTACTTTTATTAAAAAATCGCAAAAGATAAAGCTACTATATTATAAGCAGCAGATTTTTTTCAGTAGTTTAAAAAAAAATACTTGAAAGATGTTTTATTGCGCGCGACGTAACTTGCACACAGCACTAATATTAGTAAATAACTAATAATTAGGCGGCAGAGAACGCGTAATACGAAACCGTACTCATTCGATAGTCGTATTGGACACGAATTAGACATAGTGACAGCTTCTTCTTCTTCTGCTTTTGTATGCATTTACGTGTCAACTTTATCAGATAATCTGTGTTTACTATCTAGGTGAGAGAACGCAGTGCTCGCAGCGTACCTATGGGTCAGTCGCGAGCTTCGCGTTCATCTTTGAGCGCTGGCACGCCTGACAGCCTTAGCGACAACGAAAGTTCCTTCAAGATATCTAGAAAAACCAGCACGCCTTACAGATCTACTATGACGCCTGGTAAGATACCGAATTTGTATCAAAGACACTATTACTTATGAAGTATGAATGAGGACAGTTTATCGTAAATTATCGTTAATTAATAATCGTTTGTTATATATCGTATGTTATAATGCTTTATAGGTGGTAGTCGTCCATCTAGCAGGCCAGCATCAAGACCTGCCTCCCGACCAGCCAGTAGACCGAGTAGCCGACCTGCGTCGAGACAAGGAAGCAAACCGCCTAGTCGATATGGATCAACGCAGTCATTGGATGGTACGTATACATTTTTGTTTTATAAAATAAAAGATAGTAAGAGAGCCTGTATGAGTCAAAGCAGCTAACGGTGAATTATTATATGTATTCACCCATAATCATATATAAAAGTATTCTTTCAGAATCGTTTTGATCCCGTTTTGGGCTCTCTTCAATATTTATTAATAATGCATGTAACTTGGAATTTAAGTTTATATCGAATCATTACAATTCAAATATCAATCAAATGTTTAAAACAATTAAAATTGTTATGATAAAATAATTTGTAAAGTTAGTCTATAATGTTTAAATTTTTAGACAATAACTCTAAACACTAGTAAATAAAATTAAATTAAAATAAAAAAAATTAATTAGAAGTCCAAAGCTTAAAAGATGTAAGAATTATTAAATTCCGTTTTATTTTTTGGACAAGTCTGAAAAATTGTCTGATATCTGATTTGGCAGACGATTCATGCACCCCAAGTCGCATTCCGCGAAGGACTATCATAGGCTCCGGTAATACTCCGACGTCCAGTAGACATAACAGTGTATCTGGTAGAAAACTTACAACTCCGATGAATGGATCGAGCTCTAGACCCCGCACTCCAACAGGATTAATCAGTCCCGCCAGCGGAGTACCCTCTAGGTTTGTAATCCTCAACATGTGTCATCTTATATATCTGAAATAGATCGTGGACTAACTCGCATTAGCGTGCCTTAAACAGGATATATATATATAACCACAACTGTGTGCATATAGATTAACGTTAACCAGTAGTATCTGACTTAATGTCAAACTGATTATTCAAGAAATATTCGATATGTATGTTTATCCCGAAAGAATCAACTTTGTTTTTTATTAGTTTCTATTTAGTTTTACCTCTTTCTATTTTGTATTACTCAATTTTTTTCCGTCTCTTCTTTACATTACAATTCCACCGCGTACATATAACACGTACCACGTGAAATACCAAGTCATCAAAGTGTTTGCATATGAAAAAATAAAGATGTATTAGCCGATGCATTATTAATTGAACAAACCTTTTACTACATCTTGTGTTAACCACAAAACATTTACACGACTAATCGATCGGGTATAGTATTTTAATAATCATTAACAGATCTGGTTAACAACATTTTTTAGGTTTGGCTCAATCCATAGAGCTTCGAGCATTCCAACCCTGACTGGTGTCGGAACACCTATCAGGTAAAGCAAATTAACGAATCGGCAATTTCATGTAAAACTGGCTCGGGGTAGCAATTTTGCAACTTTCGCTTTGCGTTATGCATTCTATCTTCATGAAGCACTATATTAGAAATAAAAAAACAAGAAGCAAAACGCAAAGTAAAAAGCTATAAAGTGTTTTGTAGTGTGGGACGCTTTTTATAAGAGACTTTAGTCGTGGTGACGGTGATATATTTATGCTTATTTTTTCATTGTTATTTTATTTCGGTCCTTGTGATTGTATTTTTCCTGATTTTTCTCTCTTCGTTTCTGACTTCGTTTATTCAATTCTCATGCAACGCGAAAAGAATTTCCAATGTCGTACATTTACATAAGATATCGTTCGTGCAATTAAAAATAACATTTCGATGGTAATGCCTTAGCCGCTCTAGGATACCCATATATGTGGGGGTGGATATAAAATCTCCTCAGTCGACTACCAGCAATATGTCGACTCATTCAACACAAAGCAACCATTCTACAATTTCTACTGATTCCACTGGGTATGGCTGAACTGGCGCTTTACAATATAATCCGTTTTCCGTTTCTTCTCACATTCTTTGAATGTTTTATTTTTCTCGCATTAGATATAGAACTTCTTGCAATAGCATTATTATTTAATGTTTGTTGTGTATTGTTGTTTATTTTTTACTAAAATTTCATCTTGAAACATTATATATTACGTAGCATGGCTTTATCTCATTTGACAAAAACAGCTCGTTCCTTTTCTTTAGCTAATAACGCCTGCAGCTTTTCGTTTTATCTATCATGTCGATAGTGCAACCAAAGTATTCATAAATTATCACTAATTGATACCAGCTTCTACATCCAATTAAATATTTTGATTATAACAGTTTTATATTTAAACTCCTCAACTAACGTTTTCTTTCACAACGCTAGGAGCAGTTCCCTGTGTACCAATTCAGCAACTAATATACCAACAGCCATTAAGCAAGCTAGGTAAACATCAATATTGATTCAAAAACTTTCCTTTCTTTCCTTCATTTGTTCACTGAAAATGTGCTTAAAAGGCACATTTTGTCTGAAAATATGCCAATATCGGTTTTCATTCGATCTGCTTTATTGGTATTGAAAGGTAACGTTTAATTACACATGTGCACGTATACGATTGTTTGTTTCAGAGTACGTACACCGTCCAGTGGATCCAGCACACCACTACCGCCGTCTTCAAAATTATCGAGGAAACCCTCCGGAGCTTCCGACACGTCGGTGTCGGGAACGACTCCGATCACACGAAAGGGAAAACCCACACCGATCGAACAACGCGCACCGTTCCGATTGTAATAGCTTATTAACGGATACTTATAGCTTGTAAAAATCAGCGTATTATACCCGAGAATATAAAGATAAATATAAAACATCCCCGCCAAATTTAAGAATAATCGGTATTGCAGGGATATGAGAATAGATTATTGTTGTTATCGAGGGAGAAGAGCGCATATAATATGTGAATGCTAAATTAAATGCTGGATCAAAATTTCGTAGAAGGCAAATGATGAATCTAAGAGTTACGATTTTATCATTCATATTTCGTTGAATTCCGCCAAGTACTGAATGCCATTAAAATTACAGATACCAATGAGTATTTTATACTCTCTTAGGGTAAGGGATTACAGTTGGGGAAATTTATTTATTTCATGCCCGCATTAGAAAGTGCTTAAAGCGTCTATCTAGTTTATGATAACACGTAACAGTGAAATAAATTATTGTTATAAATACCATAATCTGGTATTATCAAGAGTGCAGGGTAATGCTGTATAATTGAAAATATTTAGGTGAGATATAACAATATCTTCACTGACTTTCTCGATAAGGACAATACTAAAAAGATTTTAGTGAAAAAAAATCAGCGTTATATGTATAATAATTACGCTTATGTTTGATATATATAACTAGATGCCTGTGTAATTACTTTTATATAATTTAATATAGTTTGCTCATTTTGTATCTTTGCGTGCTTTATACTGCGTAAATTATTGAGGGTTTTCTCGATAAAAATTTTTGAGCTATATACTTGAGCAAATTATATACGCGGAGACATTAATTTATTTAATATTTTTTGCTTGACTTATTGTATTCATATGATGTAATTAACGTCTAATTCGCATTTGTTAAAAAAAAAGGAAGAATCTTGTATGCGATTTTAGATTAGATGTAAACCGATACAGATTGTAAACTGAATTCATTTTTGTTATCCGTTTCGCAAATTGCACCGTACATATTTTCGATTAGTTATGTATTTGTAAAAATCAGATTAAATGTTATTTTTTTATTTTTTTATTCTATACCAATTGAGTAACTATGTGAAACTGTGGATATTGATCTACAATCTTTACAAATCTGCTTGATATTACCTTTAAACATATTTTGATATATTTATGTTGTTGCGAAACGGAATATCTCGTTGCTTTGTGAAGAAATATGTATGACAGTAATCAAATATAGATTAGAATTATGCACAAGTTTAGTCCTGGAGCGGTCGCTTTGAAAAAATGCAATTTTTCACAAAATTATATCTATGAAATTTTTTTAAATACATTTTTCACGCATCAATACATATTTTATGTCGTTTGTTAAGCTTGAAATTAATTATTAAAAAGGCTGAGATCAACACACGTGTCCGCTCTAAGATTGATGTGCGATATGCTTTTGTTACATGTTTGCGAATCGATTTATCGATTAATAATCAATTAATAGATAAGTAAATAATTATAATTATAATTACATAATTATATAAAATATTATATAATTATTAATTATAATTGATTAATGAGAGATTTAAGAGTTCGGGGGAACATACCTAACAGCGTTAAAGTAAAAAAAAAAGAGAAAGCTCTATACGTGTGAATAGTTAAGTAAAATATATTCCATTGCGCGAAGTGTGGCCTGTTAGGTGACGGGTAGAAAAGAGAAACTCTGAAAAAAAGACATTTCCATTTTTTTTACATACATACTTTTAGATGCGATTAATGTAACGGAGATATGACTCGCTGCCTCTTATAAATATTACGTAATGCGATTAATCTTATTAACAACTTCTCAACGTATGATTTTTGTTTCTTTTTCACTTACAGAGAAGTGCTGTATGATGCTAATATTAATAATAATAATGATGATGAAACAGTGACAAAAAAATATAACACACACGCACATGATATTTTAATTAGAAACTTACTCTCGACCCGTTTTATTTCTATTTTTCATTTTTAGGCGACTGTTTTTTCGCGCATCATGCAAATATAAAGAAAAATGTATATACGATATTGGTACGTACATATAATTTTTTCCATACGTTCTGATTGAAGTCATGATGTGTCATGATCAGGACACGAATCCTGCTGTTGCTTGCGTCCTCATGCCTAAATTAAGCATAACTAGGTACACAGCCATCATGCGAGAACGGACGGGGTTTTCCTGAAATGGAAATTTTCGTTTCTTCAGTGTTGACTGACGGCCGTATTGTATAATATATCAAGCAGATATATTTCGGAAGGATCCAATGAAAGAAGTGACTTTGTTGCAAGCTGCGTTGATAAGGCTTACCAAGCATCTGGACTGACGATGTGCCGACTGACACCGTGCGTACGACTTGTAGATGTGTAATTCACGAAGATACACCCGTGTGCAGGTCTAAATGAGTTTTGTGCAGTTTTTTTTTTACACTCTGGGTTTACACTTTTAAGATATCTACGTCAATGCGCCCGTTGTATAACTGACCGTTTTAATTGGAATAAATATGTTTTTGCACTGAGAAGAGGACGAGACATGAATATATGCCGGTGGTATGTGCAAGAGATCACTGTCAAAAGAATGTGTAAAGTATCAGAATGGTGTTTCTTTACCATACAGCTCTGTGTCGTGTTCTATCATACCCTTCCTTCTCTGATTCAATCATTATCGTTAGATCGACGTTTTTCATAAGAGGAAACATATACTATATGGCAATATCAACAAATACATTTTACTGTAATAATTATTGCACATTGCTTCAAGTGCTAAACATTGGAATTTTCCTGTATTATATAATATAAAATAAGTACATCTAGCTACAGATACTCTACTTGAGACGCAAAAGTAACATAATACTGCTACAAAAAGTAACGGTACCGCTCGCATAGTGCTTTCATCTGCCATTGTTTCTATATCTGGTCGTTCGAGTACACAGTTCTGGTATGAATATCTGGCATACAAAGGCTATGGTCCACTTGAGGCTACAAATGCTTCAAAGCATTTTGTTGTTAGTTAATTAGTATTTTTTTTATTGGTCAATTAAATATTTCAAAGCATCTGTAACGCCAAGTGGACTGCATCTAAAATCTTTTTAAATTATAATAAACACACGTAAATAAACGTAGAAAATAATTAGATCGATTCAAATCTATAGAACATATAGAAAACAAAACATAAAAGAAACTAAGTACGTTGTTGATACACGAAAAACATGTGAAACTTGATATAATAGTACATACAAAATATTTTTTGAGAGATCATCTTATATGAGCATGAATTCCTATGGAGTGTAGCGAAAGAGATTTATAAAAAATAAATTTGGAGTTTTTAAAATTGCAGCGCAGATCTTCTGACCTATATTTTTCCGAAATTTCGTCAATTGGGACGAATTTAAATTTCCGCGACTTGCGAATAGATTTATAATCGCTTATAAGATTTAAAATTCTAGGAATTCTCGGAATTTCTCAGTGTCGTCCTTTTGCTCATTATAAAACTTTGCTAATTTTCAAACTTAATTTTTCTTTTATCGACTCTCGATCAGGACACCTAAAGATAAGATTCTAGGAATTTTTAGACTATTAGTGATTATGTTTTTCTGATGCCTATAATTTATTATTTTTTAAATATTTTCAGATCATTTTGTTTTACGATGTTAACATTTTTTTTTAATATGGTGCATTTGGCATTTGCCTTTTTTTACGAGATAGCTGCAATCCAAATATTTCTTATGTTACATGAATTTAGACATTCAATATCTTAATATATAGTTCAATAACTACACGTGCATCATGGATTAACATAGATAGAATTAGCAGCTTCAACATATGATTCCTCGAATGGATCCTCGAATTATTACTGAACTTACTTGACCTATATGAAGCATACATATTTAATTAAAAGTCTGCTTATCCGCTCAACCTGGATCGTGGATTTTGTTACTGAATGCCAATCTAGTATTATTTTACGATATTTACAGAATAATATAAGCGTCCTTTTAACGCTAGACTATTTTGAATAAATTAATCTAAAATAAAAGGGGTAAATGTCAATTATCTGCCAGAATCTTCGTTGTCATGTTAAAATATGTTAATTATGAGGTAGTTTATGTAAATGCATAACTTCTTAACTTAATTTGTAAAGAATCACAATGCCTTTTTAAAAATTTATAGAAAATAAATTTGAAGTAGAATTAATTTAATATTCAACAAGTCACATTTCTCCTGTGAAATTAAATTTTTTTTTATAAATAACTGTAATTATTTTTCCGAGACAACAGAAAATTAAAAAATTAAAATTTTTACAATTAGAATGCAAATTATATTTTTTATTATATTTTATCAGTTTAAGATATATGTATATGAGTTTTTATATAACTGTTCCCTCTTCTTTCTGCTATTTCTTCTCGTTATTTCATTATATAGCAAAAAATTCATTATTTCTATAGAACGTAAATGATATCGACATTTTATGTGTGTGTATGTGTATGTGTGTGTGTGTGTGTGTGTGTGTGTATCAAAGATAAATATACACAAAAATTCAACCTCTACAACCTATGACAAAGATTTCATATGCGATTTTAATTTTATCATGGACATATTAGTTCTTTCGAGAGAATTTTGATAAATATACACAAAAATTCAACCTCTACAACCTATGACAAAGATTTCATATGCGATTTTAATTTTATCATGGACATATTAGTTCTTTCGAGAGAATTTTAAATTTAATAGAAAGCTTTCTTTTTTATCAGATATTTGTATACTCTCAGTTCACATAACGCTTTTGAAATTTTCATTGATATGTAATATCGCATAGATCGCAATCTACATTGGCATACGATACACGTTACACCATATCTGTAATCCCTATAGTAATGTACATAGTGATCCCGATGAGAGTGGAGTACAGAATATAGAGATGCAGCATCCACAGGGCGAGGATTGCGGGAATTCGTTTTAAATGAATCTTGCTGAATCCGGCAAAGTCGTTTAACGAATACCCAGATACCAGCAACAGTGATCATCATGTCTTACAGAGTAATTACATTTTACATTCTATTACTTATTAATGTTTCGCTCATTATTTGCTTGAGGCCGTACTTACACACACACGCACACACACACACACATCCTGATTTTTTAAATAAAATTTTGATAAATTAAGAAGCTAACAAAAAGCGTGAAAAATTATTAATTTTTGCAATTTTCTTTTTTGAATTCCTGGAAAGGTATTAAATAATATATTATCTCAGCCGGAATTCAAACCTAGATCTCTCGAAAAGCTTTCCTTTCTTAATCGTGTTGTATTCACATTATATTTTGTTTAATATTGACAATAACTTAATTAATTAATGTTAACTTATCAAAATAATATTTGATAATGATCTTCTTAATGTGCGCAGATTATCAGCTATTTTATTGGCGTTTTATTGGCTGTCGTCCGCGCCGGGATCGTTGAACTGGATGCAACTGCAATAGTCGTTGCAACAACCAGCTACGACGGTTATCAAAGCCGAAAACTACGATTCTCCTCGGTATAACGATAGCTTCGAATATAACGTGGCAGATGGTTTCATGGTGCGTTTCTGCAATGTAATTTGTAATCCCACAGGGAATGACTGATCCGCACAGTCATTTGGGCTTGGCGAATCCACGGATCAATTCAATACACTGCGGATACTCAATACACGGTACATCAAATATATTCATACTTATACATTTTTATAATAATGCAATAAACATTTGAGGAAAGTAAAAACAAAATACAATTTAATCTATATAACGTAAAGAATAGAAATAAACACCGAGATTTATACACGGTATTTGATACAGATAGAACAGCGAATAGCGAAAGCTCTGAAGGTTATTTTTTATTTATATTAATTAATTTAAAAAATATAATTTGGAAGATTCACGAAGATTCAAAATAAACAATATATAATAGTAAAATCAAATCTTAATTCGACAAGAAAATGACTGAATTTACGACTTCGTAATTAAGAGAAAGTTAAGCCGAAACGACATTTCCGAACGTTCCAAATTCGCAGAGTGGATTCCTGTCGATATCTCTTAATTCAGCTATTTGTTGTATCTGTTCATCGGATTCGTTCCATCGAATTAGAATTCAGGAACTTTGTCGGGAACTTAAATTAAAACACCGGTCGAGACAATGCGCGCTTTTCCATGAGAACGTCGCACAGAACTTTGGTCGAAGTATTATGAACGCATACTCTTATACTTTTCAAGACGACAACAAGGCGCAGGAAGAGACTTGCAACGGCGATGTAGTTCAGCGGAAGTTACAGCTTAATCGAGCTTGAAGGTTCCTGGCGCACCGTCTCCTACGCGGCCGATTCTATCAACGGTTTTAACGCGGTCGTGCAACGGGACCCAGACATCACGGTTAAAACCATCCCTGTCGCTGCACCCCTTCCTGCAGCGACGTTATACTCCGTGATCGCTGCAGCTGCACCAGCAGCAGTTACAGTCCACAGGTTGGTAATCCAGTTACTTTTTCTCTCGGTCCATTAGTCTCTTCGCGAGATAGAAGGACAGAAAGAGAGATCTATCGCGGGATTCTTTGCTGGATTTGAGGATTCGCTGGTTCTCTTTCTCACCGAGAATTGTCAAAGAAAATGCGATACCGACGAGAGATTCTGTACGCTAAATCGAGCATGAGAGAGAGAGAGAGAGAGAGAGAGAGAGAGAGAGAGAGAGAGAGAGAAAAAAGAGAGCTGCAAAATTCTCCACGTTGCTGAAAATGTGAAAATGCACGCGCGCACATTTATTATGCAGACGATTGTCGTGGATGCACCCCTGCTGAGGCAGCCGTTCATCTCCGGATCCACGCTAGCCGCGACGAATGTTGTCGTCGTGAATTCAGGACTGGTGGTGAATTCAGGTCTTGGTGAAGGCTTGGGAGTCAGATCGAGATCTCTCTATGGTGCACAGACCGTGGTTGCGTTATGGCAGTGGCAATGTTGTGAAAATTCACTAAGCAGAGCACCAAGCAGCGTGGTTCCGCCTCGATTGACGCTACTCGGCTTCCTCTTGCGACGCAATCGGAAATAATCTCCATCCGTTTGCCTGCGCATTACGATCTTTTTATGCATCGCATAACCGTTTAAAATATACAAAAAGTATTTCAAATGTAGAAGAAGGTATATTTGAGAAATGTAGATTATGTAGATTATGTATACAGAGAGAATATCGTTATATGGAAAAAATGATTTTTTGCTGAAATATTTAAAAATTTAGTTAATTGTAGATCTGAAAATAATTTTGTTGTATCATGAAAATAGTTATGAAGAAGCTTATTAGAATGCTTAAACAATGCTGCAAAAAAGCTTGTTTATAATATTCCAGCAACCGATGAGTAGCCTGTATAAATTATTCTCATGGTCCAAAGAGAATTATTTTTATGGTGATTTATAGAGGAGAAAGTAGTATTGAAGCCCCATTATATTTTACATTTTATACAATAATTTGATTAATAATTGATATTTAAATTTAAAACTTAACGCGGTTCATCAAAGTATTGTTCTATTGATTTCTAGACTTAAAGTTACAAAGTGTATTACTTAGGACATTATTTATAAAAATGTGGTGACACTATAGGTCAGAATTGAAATACAGAATAAAACATCCGGAATTTATTGCTGAATTCGAATAAACGCGGGATAAATGTGGAACTCTGACGCGCAAGGAAAGCCGCGTCTCGACAGTCTCAAGTAATCGATGAATGACGGCTTGATAAGTCGAAATGAAGTTGACATCGACGAGAGAATACGAGGGAAGAAGATCAGTGGGGCTTAGGAGAAATCACCGTTAATGGCGCGACCAAAGGATTTCCGCGGGGCTTTTTTACGAGCATTCGCGCTCAGTCGAGTCGAGATTCTTAGCTTTTCAACGACGCTGCTGCTTAGTTGCTTTTTTCTGCCACCATCCATCTTTCGTCGTCGGTCCTCCGTGTCTGCTATCTTCTTAAGCCCAGTTCCGTCAGCGCGTCCGCCACACATTTCTTAGTTAAACGATTTTTTTTTCGATCGGTCGTCGTAACATCGCCGGGCCATTCTAATGACTATAAATGTTGGCCTAATCTCCCCGCAATCTCGGATAGGCGCAACGATGATGAATTATTCAGTAAAATTCCTCGCGCCAATAGTTTTGACCAAGATCTGATGAATAATTTCTTGCGTTGCCAAAATATTCGTAATTAAACCCTCGTTATTGTCTTTATGAACGTCAATTATCTTACAAAATTAAACGTAGAAGTTTTCAAGTCGTTTTGATGTCATCATAACTGTTTGTTCTGTTTAGGATTATGTAATGCATAATGCTTTTTAATTCTCCATTTATAATTTGAGTCTTTTTTGATAAATAAAATATCACTCTCAATTTTGTTAAACTTTTCCGAAATAAAAAAGAGTGGAGTCCGATTTCATCTCTTAAAAATATCTTATCAAAAATTCATTGGTAATGTAATATGGAGATGTTAAAATGCAACCCTGAATTTTTCCACATTTTTTGAAAGCCTAGAACAATAAAAAAGAAACAGATTGCAAACGGAGAATTAAACATACATTATAAATTATACAGTGTTTACAGAAAGCAAACGCTTAAAAGATTGAAGATATTATACATCTTGTAGTTTCTCATATTTTCAGCATCGTGTAACCAACCTGCTCCCACAGTCGCATTCTGCGAAAATGTAACGTCATGTAATATATTCTATTGAAGGTGATAGAACTTGGGTTTATATATTCTATCAACATGAATCGCATCAATGTAATTTCCAATATCGCGCAATGCTATCCGACGAAGCTTAAACATGTACATGGTAATTTAGGCGTATAGTAGCGCAATACCATATCGCGATACGAAGGGTGCATCAAGCACGAAGTCATACACAAGTAAATATGTACCTACTGATGTAGAGGCAGAACTAACAAGCAGTATCGATTAGTCCGTTGGTCTTTATATATATCGCGACGTCGCGTCGTCTTCGGTTGGAAATTAATTCCTTTAAATGCTATTGAGGAACGTTCCAACTGCAAAACTTTAGTTCACTC